CAACTTTTCCTCACCTCTCTTCACAATAATGACCATTCACTTGTCGATTATCGAATTATGGAAAGGAGCTCATTATTCTTCTCATGTTCATTAAAATTATCAAATATATTCACCAAAAACAAGTCAGCATATCTCTGTAATGCATCAGTTTGTGTTTCATCAGATTATTGCTGTTTAAAACAATCATCTATACAAATACAATCCCTCAGTGGTGTAGATTTTGTTGTTCGAACACNTCATCAAAATGGATATGAAGTAAACTCAAGTCCGACGTGGAATAGCCAACTATTTTATGGATCAAAAACTGGGCGAAGCAATAAAAGCTGTTCTGGCATACTGTCCGGATTCACATGCGTCTGAAACGGCCCGTGTCACTCAGTACAATGCACCTTGATCGTTTTTGTGTGGAATAAACTAATTTCCCCGAAATATGTACAGTTACAACAGATCTGCTTGTCCGGTACATCGAGTAAATTCTTCAGGTACCCAGGAAAACTGAAACGGTTTTTTAATGTAACCGAACCTTATATGTGAACCAGTTAGGTAACGCGCGGAAATAATGTCAAAACTGTGAGTTGAAGGAGACTTTATTTTCAATAGTGAGAGATTTATATCGTTGAAAGTGGTACAACAATCGAGGGAAATCGCATGATATTCGAACGGCAAAAAATAACATTTATTTTTAAGTGTACCGAAATGTTCATTTGTGCCCCCCCCCCAAAAAAAAAAAAATTGAATCCGGTCTGCATGACAGCATTGGTAGGTAAATGAACAAAAATCAATGAAGAAAATCAATCTTTTTAATCCGATTTCTTACGTCCCCTTGTGGTAAGACTTTTTTTCGGCTTCGCCAGTGTGTTTATTATCCCTAGTACATGTTGTGTGCCATGTTTTGACCACACTTTGCGATCGGAATGCTGTGTCGTATTTCATTGTTGGACTTGTGAAAGCATGAAGATTGAGTTTTACCGATTATAGTCTGTTTACCGGTTTCCGGAAGCAGGAGAGAGAATTTTCTAAGTGTATAGAGTAGTGCGGCTTAGTGGAAATTTGCACGCAGCTCAACAATGATAATCAGATCTTTGTTTACCTGTATGCCACTAAGGTTTGCCACTGGAGATTTCATCTTTCCGGTGGAAATCATAAAGTTAGAACGGTATCATGGAAGATCGCCACAAACAGGTATGGTGGAATAACTAATACTATTTGAGGCGATTTTTTACAACCATTAAAATGTCACATACCAAGTACAAAATTCACTCAAAGAAATAGAGAAAATATAGGTAACTGAACGCATATCTCGGTAAAACGAAGTGAATGAAAGGATATAAAATTTACGGAATCGTGTAAGAAGGTCAGGATGATTGGTGCACATGGTCGGTTATATGTAACAGTCAGTAATGATGAGTACTCAATGCCACTCTGATGTATATGAAGGATTCCGCTTCGAAGGACTGGCAGGAGCACAGAGTGAATGAATTATCAAAACATCTTTGCGAGAGAGCGCGCGAGTAAAATACACTTAGAATGCCAGACAGACCAGAAAAATCCAAACATTTTGAATAATAATACAAATGTCAGAGACGTTCTCATGGGGGAGAACTACAAGACATACACACTACATTACGATCACTACATATACAAAATCATCAGCATACCGCATTCTCGTTTCACTGGTATTATAATGGACAAGAGAAAAAAAGATGCTATCTGGAACAGTGCCGCGTCAGACAAAATCCTAACAGATCTGCTTACGATACTACCAAGACTGAGGGATAATTAGCGTGGATTCTTGGTTTCTGTCGTGTGAAACGCTCAAAGACTTTCAGAAACATCGAATTAAGTATCATGGGAGGTAATCTATTAGAGAGATTGATGGACAGTTTTTCTTGGACTTTGGAACAACAGTGTTATCCCTCAAGCATTCGGGACTAGGTGGTGGATAACGATAACCGTTTGTCAGAGGTGGAACTCTGTCAAGAACACTCGCAACACACTGTAATGATTCAAGATCTTACTGCAACATTTTGGTGACGAAGTTCTAACCATCTTGGAAGGACACCGTTGGCATCTGGTGATGGATTATCTTTACGTACTTCATTCACTACATTGGAATGGCCGCTCTGCAACACAGGAAATACCTGTGGAAAAGTGTCGGAAACCATATGCTCCAGCACTGAAAAAACGATCGTCGATCAGGTATGGCACTCTCTTGACGGTCCCAGCAGAGCCGCACATGTCATCACACTCCAAATACGGTCACGAAATCAGGTGCACACACCACGGAACGTTCAGGATAATTCCACATCCCACATTATTTCCAACTCATTTCTCACGATTAGAATTTTCAAAGCATCTTAGTCTGAGAAACCAACCCAGCCGGCTTCCTAAAGACCATCTAAAACGACTGAAGCACCACTACCGATATCTTATGTTTCGCTATTTTCTCCCAGCATAACTCCTTTAGGTAAGGTTTGCGCGCGGAAATGGTACATTCTCGTAAAATAATCAAAATAAATAATTCAACCAACTACAGGTACACCAGCTGATATCGTTAACACATTATCCGTTACAAGTACATCTGTCGAATAAGTCTTACGTAGGAAGCAAAACAATAAACTCATTTTTCATGCACAGTTTAAATTTATGTCCAATAATCGGAGAGATGGAATCAAAAATGTTCAAGTAAAACTGCCCAATTTTCCCCGTTCAAAAGTGCGTCTTGCACCGGAAGTGCACAACAAAGGTCAACGAACTGAGTTGATGAAAGTGTGATCTCGGACTGGAAGTAGGATCATGCTTTATAGGCTCACACAACATAACCGCTAGTGATTATATGAAGCATACCAGTAGACAACGAACCTACGCATGATTTGACACAGAGAAATCTATCTTTTATTAATATATAAGAACAATATCTTAACCTGTATGAACTGTTCTTTATCACTGAAAAATCATGTCCTATAGTGGGGAATTATATATCTCCTAAGGAATGAAACACACACCGAACATCGTCAGCAGTGCCTGTAAGAAACTGAATGGGCTAATCCAAACATTGACAATCTAAGCATATCCTATAGTTGCAATGGCTTATTCCTCCATGGATCACGAATGAACATACACGTGTTGGCATTGAATTCACATAACGGCACATGACAATTTCTATCAGAAAATCGGTTTATCTCAGTTGAGCCAGTAAAAATTAGAAAACAACACATATGTGCGTTTCGTTTCTATAATGCTCATGGAATCGCACAGGCACCAGAATCCGTGTATTCGGCCGGTCTCCCTTGTCAGAGGTTTGTTGAATCCAACGTGACAATTTATTGCAACTTCATCGAAACCTTGTGCATTAGGATTAACAAAGTGTGCTGAAACGCTGTCGGGAGGCACACTACAATCTCTATAATATTTCCATTCATTCCGCGAATGGAACCAGAAAGATTAGGGTACCAAGTAAAAAAGCCTTACTTTCAAGGTGTACGGCTTTCCTTTCTTTTCTCGCACTATTAATACTCATTGACAGGTCAACAAGGACACAATCAATGTACGCATAGGTGATCGGTTCCAATAACGGAGAAACATTTATCCGGTGTTCTTTCTTGACCGTCACATAAAATTCGATCCCATCATTCTGGTCCGTGGCATTTACTAAAGGTTAATCGGGAACATCTTGTAGACCAAGTCCTTTTCACCTAACCAGTTTGAAAAGCCAAATGAAAAAAGACCAGTTATGTTTCCAGTGGTAGTCAGGACTGAAGGGAATAACGTATGCGTATCAAACACGAACTAGCGGCGGCAACTTGAGAGCCTCGGTAACCATCGGATATATCTGTGCCTTTCATTAGCTATCTTTCAGATTGCTAACCCCCCACGAATCCTTAAATTGAGTGGGTCGATTTCTTTCACAAATAAGTAGTGCCCATCAAAGTGATTGGGAACGGTTATCTATTTCGATCACTTTTTGTAAATTCTGTTAAGCTACATTCAGATGAACCGAAATTCAAACACATTGTGAATAGAAGCTGCATAATTGCTTCCTATGAGACTTTTATTGACAATAACAGGAAAATGCAGTGCGAGAAAATTTTAACAACACTTCGGCCGTGACACCGAGATGACGCTTTCGTCAACCGTGCATTAGTTGCTGGTTCATTGCCTTGGTTTTTCACGATTTGTCAGTGAGCAATAGGTGTTTATTTTGTGTCACTGATAACTGAATAGATGTAAAATTATACAGTATCTTTTCGATTTCTTGAATTGAACAGATTAATACGCAGGGTTTGATAATCCAAACGATCATGGGGCTGATGCAGGATACAGTGAAGTGGAGAAGTTGGTTTGATATGNTCCCAGACGATCTGGTAACGATTTTCATCTGGTATTCACTGCTGCACGCATTTGCACAGTTACCTGTATGTGCTTTTAATTCTTGCTTGACAGCAGAAGAAAACAATGCCTAGGCTTCGTAACGCACCAAATCCATCCAGGGAACACTCTGAACAGACAGCTAAGAATATCTATCCAAAAAGTTCTAACATCATAATTTCTTTCATATCATTATGGAAATGCATTTATAGGCATAAGTGTTGGAACAAAACGTTCCCCTTCGAGAAAAGACACCTCATCCAAGGGTTTCACAACAGTCTTCTATAGCAGTGTAACAGTACCAGTTTGAGTATTATGGTCATTACCTCATAACTACGGTCCAGTACAAGGATAGGATTCGAGTACACGTTTCATACGTGCTCCGTCGTCAATCACCAATCAGAATTATTATTTTCCGGTAATGAATAATGCACATTTGGATTGTATTATACGGAATCACAGAACTCCAAGGATCAAAGACCTCCACTGTATCGAATTCCTCAGTGTTCGAATGGGGCTGCTCAATCTCTACGAATAAAAGCTTAATTGAAGCTCTTCAGCATCTAAGTTGAGTAGATTTTAGCGTGTATTGTGACTGATCAACTAATGCTTTAGGCCCTTATGCTCTTGCACTAAGCGGTGTTTTCCTCTGTTTCTGTCGAGCTAACCACAACAGAAAGACAAGTGGACAAGCCGGTAATTCCAGTCAGCCCCGAAGTGAGTTGATTCGAACAGTTGTAAGGCACGCGGTGTTCATGCAACACTTCCAGAGTTCGAATCCCGAAGTGTTCTATGAGTCTGCAACACGAGGGAGATCCAAGGGGATAAAAGTTCGAGTCTGGAAAGATAGTTAACTGTACCGACCGATGATTGTGAATAAAAATTACATCAAAGCAATACAAGTGAGCAATAAGCTCATGCATGAATTTTGATAACGCGAACAATTGAAGAATATCTTCAAAGCTCGTGCTAAATAATTGATTGATAGGCAACTCAATAGACAAATTATCTCCGTATATTCTTCTCTGGTTTAGGAACCAGTGGTTTACAATGAAAAATATCTCATTCTATTGAAGGTGAACTCACTGAATTTCTAAGCCTTGAGCTTTATATCAAATAACTAGAGTGTGGTGCACCTGGTCATTTCATTTTTGATGTTGGAAAAGCACTAGCTCGTAATTCGCTAACGCTAAATTTGGTCATAAAGATTTATCAGATTTTACAGGTCCCCTTTACTGCTGAAAGTGTCAGCTATGTATTGTGTTGCATCAGTTGACATTTGTTGGAGGGTTTTTATTTTGTTGAGTAATGCTTATCGCATGGTTTGATTTCTGAGAACGCGGAACCAACCGACAGTCGATGCTTGGACATGTAAGTTGGGCGAACATCTTTTGTGTGATTCCATTCGCAAGCTATTACAATCACATTCATTCAAACAAAGGAAGAGATGAATGTAAATCTCTGTTTCATCGAAAGTTAGTCAGCCAGTTAATAAAAACATGGTTGGGATGTCAGTATCAACACCGTTGGTTCTTCTGTTTTGTCACTGCCATCAGGCTTCCAATTTGTGAAGACAGTTTTGACTGTAGGAACTGAATTCTGAAATGGAATTTCAAGAGCTTGAAATCAGTTCTTCTCTGGACAAGGTTTCGAAAATCGGTTGCCACTCGATTCGGCTATCTTCCTTGTTTAATTGAATGACAAACTTATTTTGCATCCAATCCGGCAGACTGAGACAATTATTTTCCTGTGCAAGTGGCGAACTGCATAAGCGCAATTCTATCAGTTTGACAATGGAACCATCGCACGGGTTTGTTTTCTGTAAATAGGCGCTTAGCTAAAAAACACTAACCATTCAGAAAAATACCAAGGAAACATCAAAAGCGTCTATGGTGATTCAGTTACTAAGGTGCAACGGAAATCAGCTCCTAATTGCGATTAAATCCAGCGATTTTTGAGCGACGATAAGAGAACGATTTCTTCCATACGATGTAAATCACCTAAGTCATCAAAGTAGCTTTTTTGATCAGTTTCGGATGAATGTAACGGCTAACTTACCAGGCTGATATGCTATTTTCCCGTATATGCATCACAGTCAGTGGTCGAATGTGCGATGGGAGGCGATTCCAACCGCCCCGTAGGACCAAACCTGTTCCTTCGCCACGAGTCTCCAATTCCACTAGCATGTGTTTCACAGTACATCCGGCTGGGGCTAGATGAGAAAACATATTTGAAATGAGAAACTAAATCAGCAAACGATCGATTGGAGAAAAGAAAAAGCAATGCATTCAAGAAGACGAAATGATGTTGGAAAACAAAGGTTTTACACATTTGAAAGTTGAATGTAAATGATATCAGTAAATGAATGTCCCACTGAGAATAACGAATTTTATTGTTTACGCAGAATTCTATGAAAATACGAGAAACTATTTGAGGAATCACAAAGAGGAAGTTAAAAAATGTATTTCACTTGTGAATATTAGGCTAGGTTTGAACAAATCTGATTCATTTAGTGCAAATTTATTTATAAAATTCGAGTCGGTTGGGTTGCTTTGTATCATACACTTTTGTGGCATTAACCTCAGTGGAGTTGAGAACAACAGTTCCAGCGGCCTGCTTTTCACTAAGGGGTGGTATTCAGCAACATACAAGTTTGGTTAGGGAAAGAAAGAAAAGAAAGTTTCGTTACCTATTCTTACGAATTCTGGTGCGTCGATCAATAAATGGGAGTTGACCAACAACAACTATCTCCAGAGGTCACGTGTTCGAACCGTACCACCGCCACTACCACCATCACCACCATGAGCATCATGAACACAGTCGCCCAGGAAAAAGAAAACATTACCTCAATCGATTGGATGATTAGTATGATTTGAAAATTCTCTACAAAAACTCCCAAATACACACTCTCCTATTAACCATGCTAGTCAAACAGCAAAAAAGTGGAATCTACGTACGGGAGTAATACACTTAACTTGATATCCGTCGTACTGACTCATTCTTCGAACATGTACAACCACGTATTTATCAGATTCGAAAGCTGTACGTAATCCCTCAGGCAAAAACTATTTTAAGGAGTAATTTAGACAATGATTCCTTCGCTCACAATCTACAGAATTGGAGCTGATGATCTGTGGGACGCAGCCAGTGATAGATCACATAAATATTTGCGTTTCTCTCGAACGAGGACCAGTTTTTACTGTCCATCTATCTGTTCGCATTGCAGCCTGATGTAAATATTGACAGTTTTATAGCCGATCTTAATCAATTTTCAATTGAAGGCAACCATCTGATTTTGGTCAACTTCCTCTGTTTGTTTTTGACAATTCCGCATAGCAAGTAGCTTTTCCCTCCTGTATGCTTTTCAAACCTAAGCGCACGCAATGCCGCAAAACCTGTTGACCATTTTGCCAAGAACAGAAGGGGAAAAAGTCCAAAAATATTTGGTGATTATGTTTCTTTTATCGCATAGTGAAATGTTTAGTCATTCTCAATCAGATAAAATCAACTGATAGGTAATTGGTAAAATATTGATCTAACTGACACAGTGCTCATTTGGTGTTAACGGTGGTGACTTGACTAGACTACAACGCAGATCACGTAACGCCTTACCATGCAGATGAGGATGAGTTTTTCAAACTGAAACATCTGTATAATTTGATTTTCAGTGTGATCAATACTCATTCAGTTACAGTAAGCTTCAACTGGAATGTGTTTAGCGATTACAGAATACTTGCCCTATGCACATGATCGTATGAATCCTTAACACAGTCATGATTAAAAGTAATAAATGATATCATTCTTATTGGACGATTTCAGAAACATGTATTTTCTCCGTACTGTTGTCAAAGAATACACAACTAACGCATGCAAATGCATTCAATACAATGAGGATGTTCATAGTGCTTATTGACAATATTCCTCTTGTTAACCTTCAGAATGCTGCTTCAGATGATGATTATACTGAGAAAGCTTGCTCGTCGTAAAATAGTTTAATTCCAAGAGACGTTTTTACCCAACTTCTATGTATGAAACATCTACAGAGCATCGGGGTTGGTCTTCCGATATAACAATCCAAACAATCATTTTATTGGAATGCATGGAGGATTAGACTAATCAACTAACTAATTGATTGCTTGGCTGATTGATTGACTAATTGACTGACTGACTGGCTGATTGATTAACTGATCAAATGAATTGATAACTTAGGAATGGAAAATTGTGTGGATCAGAAATCTGCTCATTGTGCGCTGCCCTTTGTCTCAAATATGTGAACAAAACTTTAGTGTATATATCTAACCCCCAGCACTGAGTAACTTTTTGTCCTATTCATAAGTTTTCACCTAGCAGTGACAGCTAATGATTTTTTAAAGGGGTTTCGATAAACCGCAAAATTGCGATAAGACACCCGTGACAACTAGGAATGAAGCCATATCCAATTTAGTGGGTGGGGTTTTCATGCGTGCTACCGATTGGTATGAACAAAAACAGACTTCGTGATGACAAACATTAGTATCAACTCAGCTAAATGAAGCCTCCGAGATAGAAACTAATGATTTTTTTCCAGGACTTACACTCATTGATCATAATAAATAAATTCTTTCCCTGGAAGAAAAAGCCCATTCAAATTCCTCTGATCTTGATTGTTGGAATGGTCTTACAATTTGAAACACAGGAACCAGTCCGTTCTTTAATTGACCAAACCTCCCGTATCATATCAGGAAAGTGAAGTTGATGCAGAATAAGATGGGTACCGAGATCAGCGAGCTGTGACGCCCACAAAATCTTTAAAAAGCTGGGCTGTCCTTTAGTGTGTAGGGACAGAAATAAGAAAACTAACTGATTATCTGTTAACTGGTCAAGTGGTTAGTACGCTTGCATTCCACCTGTGAATATCAAGGTTTGACCTTTAGTCGGATCGATGAATTCGCACTACTGTTGACACCCGCTACGGTCGAAACAGTCGTACCGGGTTTTATAGATGTTAGTTCATGCTTCAATTGTCCTGTACATCATGAAATTTGTCATAACATCGACCTAATTATTACGCTAATTCAATGCAATTGTATTTACGATTTGAAGACAATACACCGTAGATGAATCATTTCACCTATTTGAAAATTGATCCCCAATACCGTTCCGCGTATGTTTCTCCTGATCGGTTCAAACGCCTGACTGTTGGCAGCACGTGTAAAAGATTGAAGCTAATCTCGTAAGTGTATATTGCTACCGATTATTACAAAACCATCGTGTTACGGAATGCATCGCGTTTCTCAACCCCAGATTTTGACACTACGCCTTGATTTAAACCGGAGAAGTTGATCTTTGAACCAATTACCAATATTTGTTGATGAATAAATGAACCTGTGAATCACAAGAACGGCTGAATGTGGGCAGTTCCCATGCTATCGATCTCACGCAGTTGATCAATATAACCAATCCAGTAGTAGTACGGGGCCCACATAGGCCTATCACGTGTGAAAATGCGTAGTATTTTCGCGCTATTACGAAATAGTTTGTGATCTGTTTGTAATTTCCTGAACGTCGTTGTGCATGTATTTCTTCTCTAGTGACGGGAAGCGAATCTCAACTCTTGTTTTCATTCAAAATTCTCACCGGAAAATGTGTTCGTAAATTTGAAGTCACGCATAAAATGAATGAAAAAAAAACAAATGCTTGAAAAACAAGCATCAATAAATAAATGACTGTGAGTGATAGTGAAAAGGCACTCACGTAGTTCCGGCAATTCGTACTCTAATTCCATTCGAATCCACGGACCGGCTGCTTTGGCTAAGCGAACATTGTCTTCGTGTCTTAGTTTGCTTGTGTAGTTGTTATTGATGGCAATAATTCGGTCGTCCACCAAAAGACAGTCACACCTGAATTGGAAACGATGGTATACAAAATGGAATAATGTGGCCACCACCTTGGATACAATATTTAGTCTGCATCAATTTCTAATCACTCACCTAATAAACTTGACTGGTGTAGTGATTGGAATATAACATCCTCTTTGGTACCACCTCAAGGACAATCCAAACTTGTATTGCGATTACGATGATTTGCTAGTAGTAACTTTCTGGTGATCAGATGTCTCTTTCTGGCGGAAAACTCAACACCACGGTCAGACACTGACTGTTTATCTTCAGTGGTATGAAAATAATTTGGCAAAGTACCCGGGAAGCAGGAGAAATACAAAAAATATCATCACCAGTCTCCTAATAACCGCCTGAGAAGAAAATAAGGGCATTGTGGTAAAGTTCACCACGAGAGTACAAGTGTAAGAATGAAATAACTGAGTGGCCCCGAAAATACATGCCTCGAGCTTTCTATAACCGATTGTGTTCTTCCGGAAACTGTTATCCAGTCAACCTTCTACTGCTTATCACACAGCACACAGTATCCTCATTAAACCAATCACATAAATGATTTTCCCACTGAGGAACATTGGCTTTGTATGGTAATACTGGATCTAATCTCTCGGGTCATCTAATCCCTTAGGGTGGCCCGAAGGTACAAGACTGAAGGGGACGGGGAAGGATGGGGGCGGGGCGAGTGTGTTTGAGCCCGAATACAACCGTGACCTAATAGATATGTTCATTTTTCCAGTCGTTTTCTAACTGTAGGTGTCATTCTGATACACATGCGCACGCACATGCACAGCGTAAAACCTCTAATACAACCGTGAAGCACTTCATTGATCAAACTGACTGGCGGATGGATCTCCGTTTACCAGCGCAGTTTGAGTAAGTGGTCAGGAGATAGCCAGTCGTGACTATCGCTTCTGTCTTTCTCTCTCTCTCTCTCTCATTCTAACGTTGCACGAAGACATGGGGACGAGCTAGTGCACACACGCACACACGCACTAAAATGCTTAATAATGTGATCGAGACACGGTCCGCGTCTCTACTCTAATTCATTTACCAAATGAACCAATCAAGCACGTTTAGCGATACGTGCCGTGGTAAATGTTTCCCACGAAATAAGCAAACGCGATCGTTAAACTATCGCAGGTATCCGGGGTTTGAGACAGCACTATATGAAAGTGAATGACGATAGACAACTGTTAGCGGATGAAACTTGGTAACTGGTCGAACCAGGAAGGAAACAGGCAGTGGGGCAATGGGAAGAAACTAACACTGACCGTGACCGTAGCGACGGAATCGATCAATCGAATTATGTTTAAGTCGAATTATGCTAATCAGACTTGTAGGCAACCAAGTGGCTTAACGTAAACCGTTGTGATAGAGGCTAGAAGACAGGGGCGGTGCGAGGTGGAAACCGAGGATGGCAGAGCGAGTTCGTTAGCGTGAGGATGAGGAATATACCAGTCCGGCTGTTGTTGAGACTTGGACTGCGAATGGAGTTAAAGAACTGACTGAATCGAAACTTTGATCGGCAAACAAATAATGAAATGCGCAACTCATATTATTGACTAACCAAATGGACTATAATCAACGAAATGAGAGTGAAAACGTGTGTTCGTCTGAATCAATGGACTGCCACATTAGATTTCAAATACGTGATCTATAAAGAATTGAACATCACAGAAATCAATATTGCAACCCTTTTTGTTTTTCCCAAGTAGAAATTTCAGATCAGACCCACGGGATTGATTGAAAAAAAACAATACAGTGTTTCATGAGAACTATTGTGAATAGCGTTAAACAAAAAATGATTATTTTAAACTTATCGATTATTATTTGGAATTGGTTGTCTCATAGATACACAGTTACTCGCTTGCCGCCAAAATGTTTGAGGATCATAACAAATGTATTGAAACATCAGTCAACAAAATGTGTCTACAAATGATAAAGCATAATTTAGTGACAAAATTTCTATTCTTTTTCATCGGATCAAATCGATTGTTTCTCCACTGAAGTGGTCACAAAGGAAGAATGAGTCACATTATACTAAGTGTTTTTGAAAATTTTCGAAATTTAATGGCTTTTTGTTCATGCCAGATGTATTGACTGGAGACTTGGGAACATTATTCCCACGAAGGATGTTGTCTCTACTCTATATTTGGTGATTTGATAGGCTTTGCATTCCCAATCAAATCGGTAAGCACTTTTCCGAAATGTACCCTTTCATTCCTTAGGATTGGCACCTATTACCACTCACATCCAAACACTGGTTCCTGTGGTTTCTTCGAAGGTAAATGTTCCTACTACCAGCCCTTCGCCCCACACTTTGATCCACCAAATTGTCTGTGGAAACCGCGCCGTGCCGCGCCGGATGCAGGTAAAGAGAAAGCCACACCAGCAACTTCGGAATCGCAACTAAAAACGGAAGCAGTCAGTCAGTCACTGAATGTGCTGAATATATACCTCTATCTCCAAGACAGGGGAAGCATCCCGCGGTATTTCAGGAATATAGGCAGCATAGGAAGCTTTCTTTCTGGTCTCAGCGTTTCATTGTGGTCAACCTGTTTCTACGGTTCCACATGATGGAATTGTTTTGCGGGTAATTACACGGAACTTGCTGCAGTGATAAGAATGAGAGCGGCCATCTGACTGAGTAAAACTCGCGAGGACAAATCCCCAGTAAAAGTGGTTCTGCAAACCGAGGATGACACCCGGGCTGTCTTGCGGCGAACTCACTAGCTGAAAGGGCTTCCTTGTGGTTTCTTTGAGATATCAAACTGGATGCATTAGTTGAACTCCGAGAAAGTCGGCAAGAGTCGAGATCGACCTATGCAAACGGGATTATGTTTTACTCAAGAATGAAGGCAAATCACAGGGGTTTGTTTAGATAGTGTTAAGGAAATGAGATTGAGTCATGAGCAGCTTGGTATCAATGCTATTCTATCTCCCCACAACGCAAAGGAAAACCTGTGGAGCAGGAAGATAGGGTGGCATCCCGACTTATTTGCCCTTACTGAGACAGCAGACGCAGTCCGTCACAGACATTTTGATTGCTCCAGGGGTTTACTCACCATTAGGCGGGGTTTTAAAGCGTTTTCGCTCGGGAGTCTTGCATCTTTGACATGCTGATTTCATTTACGGCATTCTGACGTGAACAGGATAGATCTTCCTCCACCAATTCCATCCAGTGCTCACTCTGTGCTACGAATACACTGAAAGCGTGACACATCACATCGCAGAACACCATTTTTAGAAGAAACGTGTAGCGTTCGTTCTTTCCGGAGATGACTCAAGCAACTGCGCTCATGTATGGGACCCCTAGAACCCAGAACCAGATGCAATGAAGATTAGGAGTGATTTCTTCCTGGGAGTTCTCGTGACCCAACCGCTATCAAACGCATGCTATGAGGCAATGGTCGTTCGATTGTGAATGCCGTGAGCTCCTACAGCAATGAAATAAGACATGGCTAAAGTGCGGAGGGGAAAATACGGCATATCAGGAGTGCCGAATCATTCAATACCAGACCAGTAAACCGCGCTGTATAAAAGCAGTTGGACTGTTTTTGAGCAACGCCTTGCAGAGAACTCGGTACATACACCGAATAGACTTTATGCCTACCTTAGGTGCCCATCAGTACAACTCCGTTCATCTTCACTCTTGTTAACTTTTCGGTAGTTGCGAAAACTTCAAGGGGCGGTGTCACAATGCCGACATCTTTTCTCTTGAAAAAGTTGGCAAATGAACTTGCACTGACCTAGTCCCACCCGTTCAGTATGTCTTTTACATGATAACGTATGCCGCGACAGTGAAAGAATGCTATCATTGTGGCACTACTCAAAGGTGGAGACAAGAGTGATTTACGTCGCTAACACACGGTAAATCTGACCAGTAGGTCGGTTAAATTAAGTGAATGACTGGTGGCTACATGGCTTTGGTTGCATTGAGTGTGCCACGGACACGTGTCCCGGGTGTACGGTTTCTGATAGGCTCGCTTATTTC